AGACAATCTTTTTATTGCTTTCTAAAGCAAATTTCTAGCACAAAAAATTTCAAATTGAAGAAATGTACTAGAATGCTGCTTTAAAAAGTAATAACAAAGTCGTCCCAAACGAAGCCAAAGTGTAAAATTGATTATCTTTGGATAGATAAATAAAAAATTTTATAGAAAAGTAGTGGTTCCTATTTTTTTAATTTAAAAAAAAAACATTAGCCCTGCTAATAATGATAAAAAGAATTTTGCTGAATTTAAATTATGCTTCTATGAAGAACTTATTAAACGATTCTATTCGTTGATTGTTCAAAGCTGGAGTGCATGATCTGCTTGTTAGTCTCATCAGAATTTATTAGAAAGATGACGACTTTCTCCTCAAAAAGAACATCATCAATATCGTATGCGATGTGAAAGCAGATAAATATTAGAGAGAAGGTAAGCATAATTGAACCATTGTATGCATATTTTATTTAATAAATTAAAGTACTAATAAATAGACTTTTTGTAGTTCGATCTCTTATATATATTTGTTATGAACTTTATTTTTTTTTATCACACTCAAACATTTATTATATTTAGCATGCATGCATGAACCGATAAATTATGTGAACCTGACAGCAATCGGTGTGGTCACCACATGCTTGCCCGAATACCACACAATCTTACCTCTTCCTATCATGTCACTCCCCTGGCTCGGATAAGCACCGTTCAAGGCAAAGTAGATGCTGTAGCTCTCTTCTTGATTCAACCTCGTAAATTGAAGCTTATAAGTGGAGAGATAAATTGTTACCCCTAGGGGCTCAGTAATCTTAGCCGAGTAGTCCTCTCTCGCATCCCCCACATTCTTCACCGTCCTGCTCACTGTTTGACTCGTCACTGACCTTGTAAAATTGACCGCAATTGATGGATAATTAAGTTGAGATGCGGTTAGATATTGAACACCATTGCAGCTCGTTTGTTTTCCGATTGTAAACGAAACCTCTTGGTCATTATACCCAAGGCCACAAAGATATCCAATATAGTCGTTTAAGGTGAGCCCAAACACAAGGCCTGGGTCCATCGCCCTGGTTGGGTTCACCTGACCAGCCCCCGTGGCGTATATCCCAGCAGTTTTGTAAGAGTTATCGTCGACAATGAGATCGCCGGAATTCGACCATGAGTCTACTGCAGTCGTCACGATCGCTGATATGATCTCTGCAGGGGTCCACCCGCGATGCTTGCTTCTCACCAATGCCACAATCCCAGATACGTGCGGCGTGGCCATGGAGGTTCCACTCTCAAAGTTGAACGTGTGGGTCGCCAATGGATTTGGGTTAGGGCCAACATCTCTTGGCCATGCGGCCAAAATGTTGACTCCAGGAGCAAGCACGTCGGGTTTGATGATCCCGCCATTCATGCGGCTTGGCCCGCGAGAGGAGAAGGATGCGACAGCTGGGGAGGGAATGAATCCGAATTTGGTGCCTTGGAAGTGTATGCTCGCAAATGCATAGGGTTGGTTGTTGAAATAGTAGTCCAAAATTTCAACTCTTGCCGGGTGGCCGATATTTGATGCCGGCAGAATGTGAGCAGGAGAAGAAGTGGTGTGCCCTTGGGCAGGTTGATTTAATACGATCATGCCATCCGCACCGGCTAGGTATGCCGCCTTTCCTTTTTCCTCATCCTTAACTAGGCAAGCCTCGCATATCACGATTTTACCTGTGATTCAATATA